ATTGTCATTCATACCTGACAGATTGTAATAAAATAAATGGATTCAAAAAAAAAAAAAAAAAATATGTTGTTACATTTTTAGTTGCATTCACATTCACTTGAGTTCTCCTTGAGTTCTACAACTTTATCGTCTAGTTTGTTAGTTTTATCGTCTAGACATTTTTCAGTTGGGGGATATTCTGAACATATCATGCATATACTTTCTAGTTTGCAATACGTTCTTGAGTGTCCATATTCTTTACAATTGAGACATTGAATTATATTTTAATTATCACATTCATTCCTATTATTATTATTGTTAAGGTATGTGGTACTACGATCATCGTGTCTATTGTGCCCCTTTCTTGGTTTATAGTAGTTCTCTAAGCCCTGTTGCGTCAATGAAATGTAGTATAGAACTTACTTTACAGAGTTTTATTGCCTCGTCCTTAAGAATATACATTCCCAGGAGTCTATTCCGTTTGTGCATTAGCGTAAGGCATTCTAACAGCACATGTGTGGCCGACTCCTCATTCTCTTCATAGAATCTACAGTTTGCCTCCGTATACACCTCACTTATTGGTATCGCTTATTGTTATAGGTCCCACTAAGTGATTTGGATTGTGTTAATCCTGTTATATTATCCCAGTAATCCTTTTTATTCTGGTTCTTTATTATTTTTATGAAACTTTCGTCACTAAGAACTGCGAATCAATTTTGGAAATCCTTAGAATAATTATTATTTTAGAATAATTATTGCGTTTCAGTTTGTTTGTTGTGTCATATTTTTTAAAATTTTAAAATTTTTTGCATTTCTCTTGTTTCTGATGTCTTGCATTGAGTATATTGAGTATAGGATGTATTTGGTATTTATCTGTTTAAGTTGTTTGATTTGTAATTACAGGAGTATCTGATCTCTTGTTAATATAAATGTATCGATCAATACCAGTCTGCAAAGCTGCCCCTTTACCAGTATTTGTAGAGCTTTTACTCATCAACAATGAAGAGCTTTTATTTAATGTAGTGCTTTTGTGAGCAAAAGTATGTATTTCTGTCTTTGAGTTTTTTACCGATTCGACTATCGATTTACTCAATGAAGTATGACAAGTGTTTATTTGTGCGGGAATTAAGGTGGTTTGACTATTGTCATTTGTTACTTATTAAAAATTGATACTCTCAATTTTGTTGAATTCACTTGATTTAAGATTTAAATCACAAGAAATGGATCTCATTAATATATCATTTTCAAAAACTTTATTTTTGCTTTGATTCTGGAGTGAAATAGGCTACGATCATTGAGTTTGAAACTCAGGAACTTTTTTGTTTGTTTACAAATTTAGAAAAAACAAAATTTCAGTAATTAAATTTTGATTAATTAATAAAGAAAAGTCACTTTTGATGATTTTAAAATATAAAATAAACTTTTTTTATTTTAAAATTGTTTTTCTTCTCTTTTTTAATTTCTGAATATTTCACTTTGTTTTAAGATCACCTAAATCATTATTTTATTTCACAATTTTTTCACTTTCTGTTTCTATGACTTGTTCTTTTTCTTTTTTCAGGTGCTTCAGTTATTTTTAAATTTAATGTTTTCAAAAGCTCTTGCTTATTTCTTCTATACTCTACTCCATTTATGTCTTCAACTAAAAACCACTTTTGTTCCTTGAATCCATGAGCTCCTTTTATTATTTTGTGACTAATTTTAATTTGTTTTTGATTAAGTAATTTATTCTTTTACTTTGTTCGGCAATTTAGACTTCAAATTATTAAACAATCATGGTAATTTCGTTCTGAGTTTTGTAGCCATTAAAAGTTCAGCTGCACTTACAAAATTGTTTTTAGGGGGTCGTGCGAATCTGAAGCAAAACTATATAGTACATTGCTCCAGTTTCTAGACATTTATTAAGCAACTTTTTAATAGTTTGCACTGATCTTTCGGCAACACCATTTGACCTTGAGTCCATGTTTAGGACTCGGCGTGATATGATTTATACCCCAGTCAACACAAAAATATTTCAAATCGAGAGAATTAAATGGTGACTAATTATCTGATATTATGTACACTGGTATTCATGACGTGATATATTGAAATATGCTTTTCAATTTTGTTGCTAAATTTGAAGAACCTCAGTTTAACCACTGAATCTCAATATATGTGAAAATGTAATCTACTATTAGCAAGTAAGTTCTTTTGATAAATTCTAAAAGGTCTATACCTACTTTGAACCAAGGAATTTAAGCTACTTCATGCCTAAGCAAGTCTTCTTTCGGATTAGAGTTTCTTAATTTTATATAAATTTCGCAACTAGATACTAAACTATAAACATCATTCTTTTGAAAAACTTTAATCTTGCCAAACATGTAATCAAAACAATTATGTTCTAAGACTTTATGGTATAATTACCTTATTATTTTTTAGTAATAGTTATTCAATTTTATAAATACTATCCTTGATACGATCTAATATCTAAGTAGCACCATTCTTTTGATGTGGGCCAGCTAACTTTCAAAAATTTTAAAAGCTTTTGATATGTCTGATGCTTTCTTCGAACTATTTCAAAACTTCAATATCCCATCTCGGTAAAGAAATTTGAGAAGCTATTGTATGACAATGAAGGTCTATATCTCTATCAATATCTGTGAATGAGTCAGTCTTTAAATGCATCCGCAACACAGAAATCTTTTTATATTTGCTTATAGTTTCTTCTGATCGTTGTTGGCGCATTAAGAATTTGTAGCGTTCCATATCCACGTTAGCTTTTGGAGTAAAGTATTCGCTGAGCTTTTATAATACATTTTGCAATTTTACTTTTTTTAAATCCATGTTAAAAAATTAAAAAAAATCAATACAATCTGCCCCCAAGTGGTGTAGTAGAAATGCAACTTTGATACGTTCTTATTGTTCTTTTTTATTAGAAGAATTATATGAGAGTTTACATATAATCCCCGAAAAAGAAATATCCTAGTATATTTAAATAAAGCAAATGTTAGGCACTTTCATAGTTCTTGTCACAACTGCGATAGAAATGACTACACGGAAGATATTAGCATGTCTCTCTAATCGAATGTAACAAACTTACCACAAGAGTTCTATCTTTACAAGGCATCTCAATGAAATTGAAGAATTTTTTTATGAAGATTATTTTAAAAAACCACCTTGAAGTTTTTTCGTCTTTTTACTGTACAAATTGTTCTTATTTTTTTATAGATTAACTTTGAGAGTTAGTGAAAAGTAAATGGCTAAGAAGTACAGGTATTTTCGAAATAAATTACAGGACTCCAAGTTAGGTAGGTTGTACTGGAGATCCAAACAAATTCTCTTGGGCCCATTGGTTGATTGTGTTCACAAGTCATATTTATATAGTATTCAAAGAATATAAAAAAAATTAACTGCAGGAGTTATCACACCTTTAAATCAAACACTTTATAAATGGCCATCCATTTCTTTATTATAGCGCGTATCACTGTTTTAAAGCCATATTACAAAAAGGACTGTAATACAGATCATTATAGATTAACAAGTATAATAACTTTAAGACTTGTCGTTTTGTAATATGCATCGTTTAATAACTGTTGCGTATGTTGAAATTGCGATATCTAAATACTACAATAGTAATAGTAGATTAATTTTTATTTTGGATATGTAAACTAACAAAATTTTCATATTTATGGCAGTGCAAATATATAAAAAATTATAGAGAACCCATTACATCTACAAGATGTCACTTGTTTTTTAGTCACTTGCTTTTTAGGTTTTTAGTCTACAGGCGTTACAGATCCAAATTTCTTTGAAAGTGATGAAAATGTGACGAAGAAGTGACATAAATTGTGGATTCTAATTGCATCATCAGCATAACTGTCAGGTTTTTTTGAAAGTAAAACTTGAAATATGAATTTTAAGTATTGTTGTGTGAAAAAAACGTTGCACAACTCACACGTATATGTTTTGTTTTGGCTTTCTTACAGGAGAAATTTCACAGACGTATTATTTTACAGTTCGTAGATATGTTATGAATCGGCCACTAAGATAATGCCAGCTGTTTCCACTGGGCAGCTAGACTTTTGTTGCAGGGTTACAAAAAGGATCGTGTTTACACACATAATAAAATTATTTAATGCTTTAAAAACCAATATATTGTTCTCGTCATGTTCCGATAAGTATAAGAAACAACCTCAAAAGTATTCCATACCGAAAGATTTCCCATTTATTGCATTTGAATGATATTGTATTTTACACTTACTAGCGAGGCTTAAATACTATAATTGAATCAAAATGATCAACATCTTAAATATATTTTATAATTATTAATAATAATAATAATGCTTTTATTAATATTAATAATGCTTTTGCTTTTGGAACCACAAAATGAATAGTCTTGGACAAGAAAACCAAAAACTTACAAAGGTAATATCTATACATATTGATAATTTGTAGAACTATCAATAGATAATAATAGAATAGAATTTAACTCATTTAACTCAATTGTAATTTATTTTAATAACTATCGAAATGTAGCGGTAAACATTTAACCAGCAGAAAATTAAATAATAATTACTAAGCCAGAAATGATAATATGTTTATGTATATGTAATTATAATTCATAATATTATATAATTATTCCTTATGAATCCACATTAATAGATTGTATTAAACCTTTTACATAGACCCACAAAATAGACCAGTTTATGTATGTTTATCCTATAATATGTACTTGGTTTTGGAATTCTTTCTATTGCTTTTCCACCAAATTTTCTTAGACATTCAAAAACTTTTAATTAGCGTAACCATACAGGACGTTTATATGTGATATATTGGACAATGAAATTGTCCCCAAGATGGATAAGTTTGCTATTGCTCTGTTCTTGCTTTTACCCATTGAATAAAAATATTTATTAAAATAATTACTTTTCAACTTATATATATACTATATTTATGTCACTGACTTTGATATTTATTACAAATGTGTAAAATAATCAATAAATTTTATTTTTAAGTACTCCTTCTTACCAATATATAAGTTTTTACATTCACCTATATAGTTCAATCGTTTGATAACCAAATTGTATGTACACAAAATTAGTGCAATAAATCAACCATTAGGTTAGTTAGTTTCTTGACACAAAACGCATCCAAAAGCCTCCAATCGGACTTGTATTAAAACCACGCATATCATCGAAAATATCTTTTACAGTATTTTCTGATCGTTCCAGTTTACAGTTAATAACTAAATAGTATAACATTGCTTTTGCCTGCATCAGTGCATAACGATTACCTTAAAGTAAAAATATTAATATGAAGCATATCAACAAACAATTAAAATAATATAATATATAATATAAAAACTAAATGCATAAACTCATTATAGTCATTTATATAAAAACTGTAGTCGTACCTATGCAATTTCTAGGTCCTGCACCAAATGGAATATATGTGAATGGTTTAATATTTCCTTTGTTATCATCACTGAAACGTTCTGGATCAAACACATCAGGATTCTCAAAATGTTGTTCATCCATGTGTAAACCACTGATTGGAAACCAGACGCGATCACCAACTTTGAATTCAAAAACTAAATTATTGTCTTCGTCTGTCAGTTTATAATCCTTAGAACAAACACGATCAGTGAGTGGAGCAAAAGACCATTTGCGGAGTGTTTCATTAATCACCATATCCATATATTTCATCTTATTTCCTGTATCATAATTAAACGGTTGGTCCTGTAATTCCTTTTTGATTTCAAGACATTCCTCATACAAACGTTGTTGAACATCAGGATATGACATTAATTCGTGACTTGCCGCACAAATCAAGTTTGTGTTATTCTCAAAAGCAGCGAAGAAGAAAACGAAACATTGTGCAACGATTTCTTCGTCAGACCAGTGTTGTGCGGATTCTTTCTTAGCTTCTAGTAACTGTTGAATCATGTCGTGACGTACAATGTTGTTCTTCTCACGGTATTTCATGGCATCAACGACAAGCCGAATGAAGTAATCTGTTTTTTCTTGATCGAAAACTTTTATGCCAAGACCCTGAAATAAAAAAATAATTAATTCAATTTCCATAAATTTAACATTAATAAATAGCTGCAATGATTTCAAAAATCTTTGAGAAACGTTTGGTGGCTCGGATGCCAGAGTACAGCTTTAACCACTTTTTAAGTTCGTAAAAATTTTTACTACAAAATCTACGTAGAATTCTATCTGGTATCGCTGGGAACCAATAGATCTATGTCAGGTCGTAGATCTATTGGTTCTCCTTTTTTATATTTATAGGATCTTTCATTTAAAATTTCTACGAGTATATAAAAATATAGTTACCTTTAAAATCCAAGGTGCTACATTCGAAATCATAGCCTTTAGCATTTGTGTGCCTCTTAAATTGGTAACTGTTTGACCAATGTTATAGAATTTATTATTTGGGTCCTCATGTGAATTAATACTTATTCCAAAAGCAGTCGAAGCGATAATGTCATTCGAGAGTTTCGATATGATTTGTTTCATTTCAAGTTCACAGCTGCCATTTGGCAGTTGCATCTTTAAATTCTTTATGCACTCACTAAAGCATTCGTTCATCAATGGAAACATATTACGCATTTTGGCTGCAGTGAAAACTGGTGTCAATGTATTACGCATATCCTTCCAACGCTGATCCTTCATTATAGAAAGCATACCAGCTAGCAAAGGGTCGCCGTCAACATTAATAAAAGGTGTATGATTTGGAAAGTTATCAAAGTCTTTAATGCAAATTTTCTTAATCATCTCTGGTTCATTGATAAAATAAACTGGATTACGAAAATTGAAGAAACCCACAATTTTGCTAAATAAAATTAAAAAAATTATTCATGAAATAACTTTGAATATATTTTTACTTACTGCGTTTTATTACGTTTATAGAATTCTAGAACTGTTTTGTGGACTGACTCTTTGTTCATCACAACTTTACCGAAATTACCTACTGCAGGATATGGTTTCTCATAGGGTATATTACGTTTCTTAAATTCATTGTTGTGAATTGTTAACCATTTATATATCGCCCACAAGGCTAGGGATGCAACCAGAACTGTTTCATAAAAGGCCATTTTAGCTTTTTATATTAAATTTCTTTTATTTTGGATGACTTCAGTTATACGTTTTAAACGCAACTAAACTCAATTGTCAATTATATGCGGTATTTATAGTTAAAATAATCATACTTTTGAATTGTAATATTTTTGACTTTGTGTGAACGTATGGTGAATGACTTAGTTGAAGTAAGAGATATTAAGGTCTTAGAGATAGTAAATTTTTATCAACAGAGAACGAGCTTTGTTCTGAGTACACTAGTTTACAAACAATTAAAAATTTTGTTTTCTAATGATGACCCTTTATTTTTTATAATTAAATTTTCCACAGAAGTCGAAAATCATAATGATTTTTTTCCTGTGCACCGTTTTCACGTCATTTGCGAAAGACTCTTATTTTAGTTTTTCTCAAAAGCCTTCTCGCATATATTTTGCATATATTTTTAAAACTTTTTATTGTCCATATGGAGCCTATTATATTATACAATAACTGAAAGCTAAACTTTGTACGAATGTTTTAAGTTACATGATGGTAATGTGACTTAATTGATTTAGCTGTTATAGTTTAAAATGTACAGATGCAAAAATTTGTTTACCCTTTTCTAACGTATTTAGATTTTCAATGTGATGGGTCTCTCACAGAATTTAAAAAAAATTTTTTTTTTGCAACTGATTTAATTCAAACTTTTTGAGAGGTTCAACATAAACATCAATAAAAATTTTAAAAGTTAGTATATACGTCATTTTCAAAACTTGCCCAAGTCAAGTCAACAATCAATCCAATATACCATAGAAAAATAATTTTTTCGAAAATTATATTATATTATCCATATATTACATACTAACATGAGGAAGTCGGGCACACCGTTTCGTTGACGGTTGGTTTGACGGTGCATAAAGCATTCCATCTACTCGTCAAAAAAAAAACTTACTCTTCTTTATTCAATATATTATTAAATTCTTTATCTTTCATCAGTTCTCTGATGTGGTCCAACAAAGATAGCTTTTTTCGTTTTGACAAAAGGGCCGATGAAATATAATTAGCCACAGAAATTAAAATTTATAATGCATATACTTCTGAGTTAGTAGTATTTCATCGATAATTATTAAAAGCATAATTTTTTTTATGACTTCATAAATATTATCAAATTTCATGCGCCATTCCTGTTCTTAACTTCTTACCTATCACTAATTATTGTTTATTAATGTAAAAAATTTAGTATATAAATTAAATTATTACATAAAATAGATTACTACGAACTATGATCCTGTGATAATAGAAATATGATATTGTCTAGAAGGTCCTATATAACAAATTTTTTCAAATAGTCTCAATGTCGTCACTTTTTATAATTACTAAGTGAGCAACCATTATGTTCTTTACGATGATCTTGTGATTCCTCCAAAATAGGTGTTTTCATTTATAACCAAAATTATTTTATTACTTAGTCTTAAGACTTAAAAACCAATTACAAATTATTCCATATATAGATATGGACAGTTTGTATTACATGTTAAGCATTTTTCAGTACCAAAAATCTTTTATGTTCACAAAAATTATGCTTCATCAGCATTTGTAATTTACGATCGTATATTTTTTGCAAAATCACTTTGTTTTGATAATTAAACAGCAGTCAAAACAAAAGAATTTACCGCACTGGGATTGGTACCCTACATCTGATCACATACATAGCTTACAAGAATGTATGTAACAAATTCGTGTGGATGTATACGCTACAAAAGGGGAAATAGTATTACCATTTTAAAATAATCGATTTAAGAAGTCGCTTAGCGAAATCTTATAATTAGTTATGGATTCTAGCGGCAACAAGGACTCCTGTCTTGTAAAATGTTAGCTTTCAATGGTCTGTACTTTATTACTAAAACTTTAATGTTACTGATAAGTGCATATGATCTTAAAATTATTTTATATTAGAAAGGTGATGAGAAGTAGAATTTTATATTACAATAAAAAATTTTATATTCTAGTCAAAATGGCCTATTATTACAGTTAGGGCGATAAATATATTATGATAAGAAACTTCAACTAAAAACACACGTCTGTTCGGTTTTAGAATAAATATAAGACTCCTTTATTTTCTATAATTTTTGCTCTTAAATACTAAATTTTACATAGTCTAATAATTTGATTTAATTAGGTTTTTCTTTTAGGTACAAGGTTAAAGGAAATGTACCTTAACCTTTTTCTTTGTTACCTTATTTAATTACTTCCTTTTCCTTTACATTTTTAACTAATCCCTGTTATTACATTTCATATTTTAATGTCTAAAAGAACCTTGGGAATAAATATTTTAAGGCTTTGAAAAACCTTTGTTAGAAATTAATTTAATTTACTAAAAATATAAAATAAAATACTAAAATATTAAATAAAATGCTAAAATATTTAATACCCAAATAACTGAATATGTTACTTAGGTAATTAGCGCGCAGACACATGTTCAAAATTTGAACATATTATGATTTAAAACGATTTTCTGTGCTACTCTTTAATGGTTTTAGACCGATCCTTTATGAGATTATGCTAAGTAAGACGGGTCATTATCACACCTTGATCGATTAAAAATTAATAAGCAGAAGAACCATAAAAAACCATTGACCTATTTGCGTACATTATACCCTTGATGCAAGTATGTACACCAATAAATTAATATGCTACTATTTAAAACTTTTTATTATGTTGAACTAAGTATACTTATGTGTCATACATTCGCAATCATTTTACAATTTGAGTAATTTCGTAAAGAAAAGGGAAAATAATCTGTTTGCTTTGATAGATAAGCATACAGTTTGGACAATAGCGAGGTTTGTCAAATCTAATCAAATAATTAATTGATATTAAAGAACAACTTTATGCATATATCTTCACTTGTCAAGTGGAATTTTTACCTCATTGTATATAAGTAAGTCGTTGAACCTTATCTTATATTGCATACAGAGTGCAGTAATGATTTGCAGAATTTTCTAAAAATGTTCTTTTTATCTTTTTATGATTGGAGAGTACAAAAGCACCAAATATTTAAGTTAATCCTTAAGTCTCTAAAATTAAAAGAATAGTTAATATTGTAGAATTCTTAGAATATATGTTTGAAATTTTAATTTAATGCTAAACAGAAATTCCTTCGAATGGTTGATCTAATACATATGAAAAAAATTCATGTATTTTAAAATTTGAATAACTATGTATGTTCATTTTTGTAATGTTTTTGCACTGGAATTTTTTTAAAATGCAAAATCGTTGTGTAAAGTTTTAATCACTTTGATGAAGCTACTTTAAAACTGGAAGAAGGACTGCGCTGATTAGCTTTCGACATGAAGTACATATATTGCAATTTCATGTGTGTTTCTTAGTTAAATAGATATTTATAGTTTATTCTGTTTAGCTAACTGTAAAAAGTACTGTATATTCATACAGATAATATATTCTGAAGCATTGCTAGTAGTTTTGTTGTTTTCGTCAAAGATGATTAAAATATTGAAACACATCGTTATAAGATAAAATTTGCTAAATTCATAAAAAATTTATAAAACTAAGAATAATATACAATTTACAGCATTAAAATAATATAATATAAAGCAATAAATATTGTTGGGTATGTTATTTACAATATAAATCATCTGAATGATACTGAATACAGAGGTGCAGTACAAAGTATCAAAAATAAAATAGATCTCATTAAACTTACGGACCTATTCTGTGCACTTGACAGATTTGTCAAATTCTTTAATAAAATTTTTGATTTTTATAAAGCTGAAAGCTTTTTCGTATTCTAGACACATCTTGACAAATTTCAAAGCTCAAGTACCTAGTGCTTCTCACCACACTATGGTGTAAAGTGTTTTGTATAGAAAACTATTCGTAATTGTTCGTAACTGTTCGTAAAAAATGCTTGTAAAGAGCACATATTTTAAGTTGCCAAAAGCATTTTTCATGCATTCAAATAACAATAAAAAATATGCTTGTAAAGAGCGTATATTTAAGTTAAGAATATTTGTCATGCATGTAAAAAATAAAAAATGCTTAAAAAGAGCATATTTTTAAAGTTGTCAACAGCATTTGCCGTATTGACAACTAACAAGGAAAAGAGCTTTTTATTTATATTACAGAACTAGTAGATGACCCGGCGAACTCTGTTCCGCCTTAAAGGCAATAAATAAGCAGTTTTTTTTTAATTGGAAAAAATACAAAAAAAAAAAAATACCTACCTTAATCATTCATAATTTATTTGTGTATTTTAGTACACATCGCAAATTATCTATTTGTTGACCTCTGTTGTTCGCTCGACCTTCAGTCCTTAAATTTGCAGTATTTCGTATTCTTCTTGCATTACGGCTTTGTCGGGAAAGATTCGATCGTCTTGGTCGCGGCATTATTAAAAAACTAAAAACTCAAATTTTCAACCATACCATACATTATAATTGTTAATTATTTATTTTGTTGAGTTTGCAACAACCAGGTAGTTTTATTGATTAAAAACGATATTTATTGCAACACAAACTTATATTGATCTAATACAACTTTTAAAAACACATTAACTAAGTTATATTTCTATCTGTTAAATTTTAATAAAATATTTTCTTATATCAAAAATTTGATAATTTCAAAACCTACTTTGTCGTGAACGGGATAAACAGGTATCCTATGTCCTTCTCCTGGCCTTAAACTACCTCCCTGCCAATTTTCAGCTAAATCGGTTCAGCCTATATCCTTCTCCTGGCCTTAAACTACCTCCCTGCCAATTTTCAGCTAAATCGGTTCAGCCGTTCTTGAGTTATAAGTGGTGTAACAAAAACACATCTTTCTTTTATATATATAGAAGATACCAAAACCTTTACAGCAGTCAATTTTGACAAGTTTATAAAGTGCACAGAATAGGTCCGTAAATATATAAAATTTGAAAATTCGAATATCGATTTTTTATACCATGTATTAAGATATTTTTTAACAAATATAATATATAATTAGAAGAATTCAAACAGTAATGAAGAAAAAACAACTAAAATTTTTAATTAATTTATTGAAATTTGACTGACCATACAATGTTGATTCGTTGTATATCCAATTTCTCATCATCAGTGATCTTAGAAAATCGAATTTTTTTTAATTACTTTATAATACGCATATAATTTATTGGACTATAATTTTATATATAATTTTTTTACATATTTTTCAAATATATAAATTTGGAACGACAGTAAGTTTAAGTAATTAAAATATTTGTCATAAGGAAATAGACTAACAGAACTGGTTGAAAGAATAAATATCCTGCTCTTAAGACAAATACTTAATACGCGCATTTATTTGTCAAATATCCAACTCAATTTTGGACTCGACAATTGGTAATTTATGGGCGGAAACTAACATTGTAAAGTAATGGAATCCTTTTTGATAATCTGCTCCATTTAAAAAAAAATAAAAATCCAATTAGGGGCATAAAAGGTGCAGTTATGGTTGCAAGGCACAAAGAGCTTTTCAAAAAATACAGCTGTGTTAGTCGCTTGAGATTCTAATAAAAAATTGTTGATATTGGTTATTGTTGGTTGGCTAACACTTGATGTGTTCAACACGCTATATATAATATAATCACTTAAATTTAAACAAAAAGTTTAGTACTTTCAAAACGAAATATGTTGAATCCATTATTTTTCATACTGCTTCTTAAGATTCTTATACCTCATATTTTATAATTTATATAATATTTGTATATTATTTGTATATTATATTTATATATTTGTATATTTGTATATTTGTATATTATTATTTGTATATTATTTCAATATCTGTTGCAATTAGCGTCCAACTAAAGCAATCTCCTTAAGAGCATTCTAAGAAAAGACAATGAACCTGAAATATTATGAAATTCTCGTTTCAATTTCATGTACACCACAATTTTTTCGTCGTCAACTGCATCGCAATTAATATATCAGGTTTTTTAGCGATTTATTTGTGAGAATATATACGATACAAGATACAAGATACAAGATACAAATGACTACTCTTTGCTTGGAGTTAAAGTTAAGAGAACCTAAAATATTTGGATCCTTTTTTATTTTTAAAAAGCAATATATACTAGATGATAAGTTGAGGAGTAAAAAAGTGTAATAAGCACTTTACTTACAATAAGTAAAGCTCTATAAGTTTATTCTGTTTCCACTTTGAAGAAAAGTATGGCCTGTGGTTATAGTTTTATATTAAATTGATTTTTAATGTCCGTTTTGACGAAAGAAACTACATACTTAATATAAACTATTGTTTTCAATAGAGAGGTATTTCGAAGAGTATTAAATTATAACAATAAAATTTTATTATTTTATTAATTAATTGAATTTTTGGTAGACTAAACAGCTGTTTCGAGTATTGCCCAACAGCCATCATCAGTGGTTTTGGAACGATTTCTTATACATACATATATATTGATTCGTGAATAATTTTTTAAGACTTCGACTACCAGGAATCAAATTCGTGCTCTGCCAAGTTTGAAGCTCAGAGTATGTGTTCATAAGCTAACTGACCCAAAGCCGTACTTGTCTTGTATGTTAACACTTTTTTCCAGAGTTTTATTATTTTTTGTGCACATTTATTTACATATTTACTTGCTGTGTTTTATATTAAAACGAAATTATAAACCAGCTGTAGAAGAACTGAATTATTTAATTATATTTTTATATGTAATTGTTAATTTTCAATACTATTCTTTTATATAGACATTACTTATTGCATAATTTTATATGGTTATAATTATATTTAATATTTAATAAGACTATGTTATTTTCCATATACATCTATCACAGAATTATGAGCAATTATTATTGTTAGTAATTAAAATTAAATATTTATAACATATAAAAAATACTACCACTAAAATTAAACATGATGGAATTTTGGAATTTTCAAATATATTAAAATAATTTATTAAATCGGAAACATGTGACATAATTTTATATATGCCAAAAATTAATATAAAATATAATATAATAATATAAAATAATAATATATTAATATTAATATAAAAAATAATATAATATAAAAGTAATAATTATATTCTAAATCATTCACTATAATAATTAAATTATTATAATATTACTTTTTAATGCTTGTATATTTGCTTTGAATCTTCCACCGTAGTATGTACCTGAATCCTTTAATACTTTATATTAAATTACTGTAATAATTTTTTGTTTTACTTTAAATAAATTAAAAAATATTTTTTATTTATTCCAACTTTATTTTATCTTAGCTTTTTCTAAAATAAGCAAAAAATATATTACCTAAAAAATTTGGTTTTCATTTTGCTGCATTATTATTCAAAGAACTAATTCAAATTATATATTTACTTAAGGTTTTTATTTAAAAAATTAACATAAATATTTTTATAAATTTATTCAAATTTTTATTAATTTAAAACTGAAAATTATTTCCAATTTACAGATTTTCAATCCTTTTGGATAACGAGCTGGTGTAGCTCACATTTCAGGCGAACAGCACAGCTGAAGCAACAGGTTGAACACGACGAAAGTTCACAAAAACAACGTCAGAAGGATATATTCGCCCTACAACAAAATCTCAGTGTCAATTGCAATTTTCAGTTTAGTCTACAACAACAACAAAAGCAAAAGGAAGAACAGGACTTAAGAGTAACGAATCGCTTGAACGGCAATAATAAATCTAAAGGAGCACCAGCTGGGCGTGATTTCAGTTTCGAAATACGAGAGACAAAATTTATTGAAAATTCCATGGGTGAGTAAGCTTTCGTGCACGGACTATTTAATTAACTGGGAAAAATTAAAAATTCAATTAATGAAGCACTTAATTATTTGCTATTTATTTTGTAATATTTTACCATATTTCGATACGTAATTATGGAATCACTTAAGAACATTTTCTGTTGCTAGGTTTTAAAATTTATTCGAATGAGTTTACATTTTTAAACAATTTATCTGTATAGGATTATATCAGTTAAAATTATATAAAAATGTTTAAGAAAACTTTACGCATAAGTTGTGTATTATAAATAGTTGTTTATCTATAAGCTTTTGATAAGTGACACTTAATACATAGTTTTATTGAAAAATTATAATTTGCCGTAATATTTGAGTTAGTTTAAATTGTGTGTAATCTTATTTCTTTAAATTTTTTTAATTTATAATATACATACGTCCTGTTAAATATGTCACCTAAAATTATTTACAAAAATCGGTTCCGGTGAAGCATAGGTCAGCAATGAACTCATACCAAATTTGCACCACATATTTAATATTCGGCGAGCTGCCTTTATTCTCCCACTCTGCATGGACTAAGCACATTGAGGTAATAGATGGGCACTCTCTCTTTTGTAATCTATATATGGTAGGTTTCATTTAAGTAAAATTTGCGCTATATCATTCTAAGTATTTCTCAAGGTGTGATATATATAAATTCCTTTTTGTTATTGTAATTTCTCTCTCGATAGGCACCGCATCAGTCAGCCGGTATATATCTGTGTTGTAGATAACTCAGTACATAGAATAGTTGATTACTAGTATAATTTCTAATTTTTAAAGTAATTTTTTTAAATTTTTTTATTTTTTTATTCTTTTCAGATTTGTTTATATGAGATAATTGTTGAATTGCAGATCTCGAGAATTAGACACGTTATTAAGCACCTCAAAGTCAAATTCCTTAAACATCAGTCAGTATCTTGCATTGTTTTAATGACCAAAAATTCGTTACTCCTTTCTTCTGCAATTTCAACCATACAACTTATAAAAATGTTATATAATAGATGTTATATACAGTGATTGTTTTATACATAGATATGTACCGCATATACCACGTAAGAATAACACACAGAATCATTGAAGTATTTGCTTCGACTCGGCTGTTAGCAAATATGGTATCCATACTGCAAACACCTTCCCCATTGATTAAATATTCATCCATAATATAACATATATGTATATGCTTTTGATTCCTTAACATGTCAGCTATTAAATATTTTTTTATTTTCATATACACACTATCATAAGAACATTCTGAATTGATATTATGTTTTGAGATTAACAGTCTCATTTAAGCGATCTGATCTTTCGACTTTATTAATAACCAAACAGTCGTATTAGTATAAAATATTACACTAGTATAGTAATAAATTATAGTGGATTCAAAATTCAAATCAAAATTCGTTTTTATAATTTTATTGGAAAATTTCGAATATTGCTAAACTGAAACTGACTTGGCACTTGTCTACTAATGACAGAGGGTGTCATGAATTTTCCTTACCCATGTTATAAATGTTAAAATTAAACTAAAGTATAGTTACACCACTGAATTTTTGGAAGTCTATATTTCACAAATTGTAAATATTTAGAAAATGGTACTGATTTTTTGAAAATAAATAATAACAAATATAGGGAGGTTTTGAGATAATGAAATTTTGTGGAGAAGAAATTGGATAAAACCTCTAAGCTTAAAATTTAGCAGGACACGAATTCGATTCCTGGTACTTGCAGTCTCAAAAAATTATTTACGAATAATTAAATATAAGAATTATTTTCAAGACCACTAATGATGGGTATTTGGCAATACTCGAAACAGCTGTATGGTCAGCCAAATATTCAATTAATTAAAATAATATGAAATTAATTTTTGTTGATGTAGTTCACTAGTGTTCGAAAAATCTCTTTATGAAATATACTAGTTTCTATTAAATATAATAGTCACTTTCGTCAGAAAAATATGAGGTTAAATTACAACTTATACAAAACTTTTTAAATAAATAAGCTACGAACCAACATCATTCTTAAATCCAGTTTTATAGACTAAAATTCAATTAATTGGGATTTCTTAAAGTTCTTAATTTATTAGACTATATATAGCTTAATTCATAAATGTTTTTAGGTTATAGTATATAAAATGTTAATATTTAAATATATTAATAAAGGAGCGTAATACAAAAATATTTTAATAAATTTATTTTTCGTAGATAAGACAATGGATAATGTAATCTGCCAATATAATAATCAAAACTCTATTTATGTACTTAATTCCAGTTCCTATGAGGTGAGATATGTTTTTTATTTTCTTTTACAAACATTGCATATTTCTTATATATATTAAATATAATTTAATGTATTAAATAATGTTAATATATAAAAATATAAAATATAAATAAATAAATGTTTATGTAGATATGAAAATACATTCTTATATATTAAAAATCTATACATAAAATATATACACAATATAATATAAATATTATTCAAAATATAAATAAATATATAATAATATTAAAACATGTTTTTATATATTATGTATGATATAACATATGTATTATTTTTATTTACATATATTATAAAAATATATAATAACATAAAAGTGTATAATAACATAAAAATATATTTTTATATATTATAAATTTTTACGTATTTATTTATTTTATATAAAATAGATATAAAAATATATGTTTATATATTTCTATACATAAAAAATATTTATATAAATGTAAATATATATAAAATTTATATGACTTCAATTATTTTTTTTTTTGACTAACTTCCGCTATAGTATAAAAATTTATTGTTTGTTAATTATTGAAATTTATTTTCTAACCTTTTAGGAATTTTCACATTTAAATTTAATTGATGACTCGTTTGGCTCACAACTCGGTTTATTAACCGCTGACACTAGAAATTCGAATTTCACAAACAACAATTTCACAAAAATTGAAAATGGAGGTTATGCATCTGTTCCGCGCAACTTTCAAAATAAATTAAAAACTTTAGGAAATTTCAATGGAGTTGCAACGGAAGCAATCGGAAATTCTGTCGCTTCATCAACGTCATCCACAACGTGTTCTCCGGCAGCAGCTGCAATACAAAAACTGTTCAATTGCAGCAGTGCTGCCAACGTTATTAATATTTCTACGAATACCAATAGCAGTGTGAATAATTGCAACAACGCCAATAACACCAACAACAAATGCACATTTTCGGGCAGCATAGATTGTAAGACGATAGACGCAGACACCCGCACTGTATTGGGGAACTGTAGCAACGGTTATAACCACAAATATAATAACAGCCATAATAGCAATCAAACAGTTTCCGTTGGTGGTTCTGTTGTGGGTATTGGTATTGCAAATGGAAATAGCGGTGGCGGTGGCGGTGGGGGTGGTTGCGGAATAGGTGTCAGTACCAAGAAAAAATGCACAAACGTTAAATCGACTTTAATTGCTAAGAAGACAAAGTTCTGGAAACTTCTTGAGGAAGAAAAATGGCGTTTAAACGATGATGGCATCGAAAATTTAACAACAAGCAACTGCGAACGACAAACCAGGTGCGTTTAAGTGTTTAATATTTTGTTGAAATTTTAATATGTTTAAAAATAATAAAAGTTGGGAAATTGATTGATTTGATATATTTAGATAATCTCAAAAAATCTTCCTTATACCTGTACCAGGTTAAAAAAAAACAAAGAAAACCTACAAACGTTTCTTGATTGTTTTTTTAAGAATATAATTATTTAAATAATAACATTAAATTTAACTTGACAAAATATTTAGGAACTTCACCCTACAAAAGTTTCTTTTGAAGGAGTGATTTTAAAGGAATAATTGGAATATTTAATGTGTGTTTTCAAAGAAATCAATATATTAAAATAAATTATATACCATATATCCTAATAAATAACAATCTAATATTAGCTGTCCATACATGTGTTACCATGAATTTTTCATTGTGATTTATACGAAAAGACTGTATCATCTCTCTATATTCCCATTCAATGACAAGTATAAATCAGTTATTGTGACCAGTTGGCTGACTTGTAGTAAAATGCAGCGAATCTTTGTATTACCGAAACGAATATATTTCGTTATATGCAGAGAATACTTGAGTGATATGGTTGTCTTTTAATATATTTGATTTTAGTTGACTATTTGCATTGTATAGCTTAAAAAATAAAAACAAACTCTTTTCAAGGATTTTCTTTCAATAGATTTCATTTATTCTGATTTCTAAACTAATTTCATTTATTGTAACATTCACCAGCATAATGATTGGCGCTAATAGTAATGATGCTAATAGCTTTTGAATTGTATTATTTTAATATACTGATTAGGTTTCAAATCATTTCAATAACTAGAACAAAAGCGCATGTTTAAGTAAGTCGATTACTGCAAATGACTTTCCACTTTATGGCACGTTTGTGAATCCCAAATCCTAATAAAATTACAGAGTTACGTTCCGGTGACAGGAACTGTAACAAGAGTAACTTCAGCTATATATGGAATTTTGCATAGAGTTATAAAAGGATTTCGTTGGGTTTTCGCTTGCGACTATAAATTTAATGAAAAAAATCAATACATAGGACGACCATTAATATATATTAAATTATGACGTCCACAAGATTCTAAACACATACGTCGTTCGAAACATTATTCAGCAGTACTGTAAATATCCTACAGATAAGTTATCTCCTACACTATTCCTATAATGGGACTAACTATAATGAAGAAGCGACAAAAAAGATTACGTCGCAGGTATTATCTGCATCTTGAGTTTATATTGCTGCACTGAGCTCACACATATGATAAGACTAAAAATTAAAACTAATTTTAATTTTATAACTTTAATATAAATTATTTCTTCAACTTAAATTCGATTAACTTTTATTCGTTTTTAAAACTGGATGATCGATCCACTTTCTAAAATAGTCCTCAAAATCGGATTTTTTCATTTGTCACTTCGAGCTGAATTACATTAATTACTTCTGTATTTTCACCGAAAACTCTTTTTCTCAAATTTTTCTCTAAAATTTATTACAACAACTCGCGAAATTGGAATTTTTTAGGTTTGCTACTTCGTTTATGAACTGCAATAATTATTTCTTAATTTTTACCGAAGACTCTTCCTCACACGGAGCTTGGTCAGAATAATCGTGATAAAGAAAGTATCTAGGTACTTCCATTTTCTTGGTTTTGCAACAAATTTTTTATAGCGGCTAGCAGAGGTTAACAGAATACAGTATATATTTAGTATATTATTTAGAAGTTACCGTTTATTCACCCTTCAAAAAAATAACAACTACAACTTTTTCTCTAGTGAAGTTCATTAACATTATTATTTTTGTTGTTGACTTTAACTTTGATTGGCTTTAATGGATGGATTAACACCTACTAAGCTCCATACTACCATGCCTGTTGCTTTGTTTCTATGGCGTACCTGAAGAAATAAGCTTCATCATCTGTTACAATGTAAGCATTGAAGTGAATCATCCATTTTTTAGTTTTTGAAGGAAGTATTAAGCAAAACACTTACGAGTATATTTTAAAGCTTTAGTTAAATTTCGTTGAAATAGATCCTACTTATTTCTTCTTGCATACATGATTGCTTAATATTAGCGATACAGCCGTGGTATTCAAGTCCACTTTATTAGCAATCCTTTTCTGAATCAATCTTGGATCTTAATCAAATTTGAACTTCATTAGATCAGTGTTTACATCATCAGTCGAAAATTTTGAACAACAAGTTATTTGTAGAACAATATTAGGACTAAAATTTCGGAAGCTATTTCTAAACAATCACAATCGATGATACATACTTTTTATACGCTATTTGGCACTAATTATATATTTCCATCGGCCTAAGATTGGCCTGAAATTGATAAAGAATGGAAACCCGAATCGTTTGCATCAATAATAGTGGAGTTTGTATCGATGCTTTGTTATTACGATTAGGTTTTAATGTTTTCATTTTAATTGTTTACTGTGAAACTTCCAATGGAGCTTCGCAATTCTATGCCAAATAAGCTGAATTTTTTTGATTGGTTAAAATTTATTTCGCATTGCCAACCAAACTAACTTTTCAAAAAAGTCAAAAGAGTATTCACTAGTAACAAATGAAAATAGAAAGAGAAGAAAAAGAAAAGCTTAAAATTAAAAAGTGCTACGTACCATTATAGAGAATACTAGAAGAACTATTTGAAAGAATTTTTTCTGAAAACATTTTTCAATATTAAAGTTTCCTATCGGCTTAAAGAATAAATCCAGCTAAAATAGTATAACAAAACAATTTTCAAAATAATTACTTGGTTCTTAGTAGTGTTAATTTAATTGCATTTAATTTAGTAGTCAATTAAAGAGACTCTGCAATTATCTACTTATTATTTGGCACAAGTAGCCATGACCCTAGCTTCCGGATTATGTTCGTAGCTATTCGTTATCTTTCCATTCTAAGTACTTAATAATTAATATTATTATAAATAAATATATGATAAATAAATAATATAAATATTATCATAACTGGTCTTTAAATAACTATAATTATTTAATTCAATTATTCTATAGTTGGTTTATGATATCGTTATAATATAACACAGCATATGAATTTGTTAATAAACATCTACAGTAAAGTAACACAACTCGAAGTTTAAATATACAAGTTAAGTAGGGCTTTAAGTAATTCGGTTATTGTACGCTGACTCTGTGCTTCAAATTTGGCAGGTTATGAGTATGAGACTTGTAGTCTCAAAAAATTTTTTACTATTTATTAAATATTGGAAATAATTCTAAGATCAACAATATATATATGTTCAGTCGAAAATTGAATTAATTAAAAAAAAATACAAATATTTTTGTTCTTGCAATTCACTATTGTTCGAAACTTCTCTATTAAAAACAATAGAGTCTATTACGTGAAATAGTCACGACAGTCATAACTGACGTTATAATCAAATTTAATATAATCTTCCAAATAAATAATAACATTTTTCCACATCATACCCATTATATGGTGAAAATTTGTAGGTGTTCTTTGAAGCAAAGCAGTGACACATTCCAATATCATGAAGGTAAATGAAAGAAGGCAATCTCAACAGTGATTGTATTTAAAACATCTCAACATCTAGAAGTAAGTCTGTTCTTAGTCGCTGTAAATCACTTGAATTTAGTGAGAATTTAGTTCATCTACTCTCCAATAAAGAATCCAATTGAAATTGAGAACACTTTTATTGCTTTCGGCCTTTTATGTTAGTACTCGTAATATTGCCTAACAAAGCAATTTTAATTTTTCCACTTACTACCTTGTGCACCTTCAACTTCCTTTGAGCACGTAAAAAACTTATCCTGCTCTTCACTGGTACGGTTGAAACACAAATTGACAGAGTTTATTGCGTTTTCTTGCATGAAACTGCTGCTGAGTTCTTAGGCGGCAACTTTGAGGAGAAGTTTAAGTTATGCTAGGCAATTTGGGTCATGAAAACCTAAAGACGCATAGTGTAAAATTGAAACTAGTGAGAAGAAATGCAGCAGAATGAACTTAAAAGTGTTGGAAGAAAATATTTCTGAACAATGTAATAAAATTTCCAACACTTAACAACCAAACGCTCATTTACAACATAAGAGTATACTATGCAATGCTTTTGGTAGTGCGAAAGGGAAACGCCAGAATTCCAATGCAATGTGGTGCCAAAGTGTTCATTGCTGCACTTTGCCTGCGAGTAAAAGCGTTAATAATATTGTTTAAAGTTAATGCCTTATGCCACATTGCCTTAACCGAGAAAAGTGGCACGTTTTGTGCGGTTCTTTGCAGAAGGTGGCCAGGCATAAGTTGGCTCTTTTGAAAATCATTAAATTCATGACTTTAAATGAAAAACTTATAAGGCAACAAAAAAAAAAATTAAAATACTTTTTTTCTAATTTCATTTCTTCAGAATATGCTTTATGTGCAAAAACTTCCAAATGAAACCAATATGGGCAGCTCAGGCTCTGGGCAGGAAAAGTCATTTCTTGTGCCGTTGCTCGTTTCTCCAAATCGACACAGCACTTTTGTAATAATTATGTCAAAAAGTTTTCGCATAATAAGTTTGGAATATTGTCGGTAACGCTTAACATTCCAGTACATTCAAATAGCAGTAAGGAACAAACAAAGTTGGTGGCGAAGAAAATTATTTCGAAATAAACACTGGAGATTAAAAATGAGAAAAAATCTTTTAATTAAAACTTGAGCATTTTGTGCGTTTCAATTATTTTTGATTTATTTATGTGAAAAGTTGAACATTCGTGTGTACCAAATACAATATTTGGTGTTTTGAGTCATGATTCCTCTTGACTCTTGGCATTTGAATCTATAGTACAGATTCGAATGAGTATTATTTTGTATATAACAATTAAGTTTTTAAATACAATAATTTTACAATTAATGCCCTTAACAGTTTGCCAGACTAAATGAAAATAATTGAATGAATATTGTAGCAATTTTTGCTCCAAGAAAAACTCTTCCAAGTATGCCAAAGTTATACCTTTGACGCATTTCAACAATTCGGATTCTCTGTCAACATTCTTAGTTGAAACTGAATTTGCATTTCTTGTGCAGCTGTTTTGCATGTTAGCTTCGGAACTTGGCAACTATTTGCACAGAAAAGTTTAAAACTACGTTTTCTCTAGTAATCTTATTTTATTAAAAATATTTGAACAAGTAAAAGTAATACTTTTAGCGTTAGAAGAATTATTCATGCAAAAAAAAAATTCGGATTTCAACTCAAATTAATATAATATCCTTTTTTATAATTTATCTTCATGATAAAGTGGAAATTATCGAAATTAATTATTCATATTGTTCAATAAAATGGTGTAAAAGGAAGCGCTACAACTTCAAGGAATTGATTTGTAATGTAAAGTGGAGCCACCAATGACTTAGATTTTCTTTAGTATTTGTTATAAAAATGAAAAGATAATGACTAAACGTCCAACCCCTAATTAGGTCAAAGAATTAATAATTGGAAAGCAGAATCCAACAAAAACGGATTTAAAAAAAAATTAAATTTCAAAGGAAAATTCCTTTTCTTTACGAATGTACAAGCTTTACAAGGAGTTCAACACCCCATTTGCGGCTATAGTGCACAAAAGTCCTTGGGCACGCACCTGTAGAGTATATATTACATTAAGCTCTCATGTAAACCTTACGAAGTTACTTATGAAGCCTGTGTCTCCTCATAATCTCCGAGAAGTTCAACAGCCCCATTTGCGGTTATAGTGCACAAAAATCCTTGGGCACGCACCTATGAAGTATATAACATAGTATGTTATATAAAGGTCTCATGTAAACCTTACGAAATCACTAATGAAGCTTGTGTTTCCTCATAGTCTCCGAGATCGACGTCTTATGGATATATACTCTTTCGCAATCGAATTACATTGAAAAAAGCCTGAACTTAACCAATTTCATTGGTAATAATATTTAACATATTTAGCATTATCTGGCTCTAGAGTATTCTTTCAAAACGCATCACGTTGGTTCAACCATACCACATGTTGGTTTTCATAATTTCTTTGCTACATGAGCTAAACTTTCCCCAACAAAATGATCAGGTCAATTTAACTAGTATGTGGTTAGAGCATATTTTTCTGAGTGTACATAGATCATTTACTTTTAGAGAACCTTTATTTTCTATTACTAATCTTTTCTAAATGTGTACCGACAACAGGAAGTCATTTAAGTACAGATCGTTTTTGTGTTTTTGTATGAAAATAAAATAACAATTATTCATTTTTAAAAATATTACATTATATATTCATTATTACTATAATATAGTTCATTATTTTTGAGTACATTCTTTAGAGGATTATTGGGTGTAACATTTTTAAGATATTTTTTGTTTTACTCCCAATTTTGTTTAATTATCGAATTCTGAACTCTATAGTTACGCGTTGAATTGAATCATAAATTGTTCGGAAAATCTTGGTTTTGAATGTTATCTTCCTTTCCTTATCGTTTCTGTTTTATTTTAAAGCTATAATTTAGTAACGAGCGAATGACTGCTCGATAAATAAGAAGTTTACACTTACATGATAATAGTGTAAATTTCAAAGGACTAAGTATCGTGGAGTGTACTTTCCAATTTGAATTTTTATACTTTTTTTATGGTTACCGTTCTATAACTCTGCGTTTAGGTATGTTTATTTGGCGATACCTTTGAATGTATAATTGGACTAAAATTAAAGACAATATTATTTTTAAATAAAAAGTTTTTTCTATATTTCTAGTTGTTCAACAAAATTTTAAGTAATATCACTTTTCCACACAATATGTGAAAATTATGTGAAAGTTATGTGAAAATAAATTATTTAAAAGCACTACTATCTCAAGGTATTTGGTTTTGAAAAAGAATGATTTATGAGAAAATGTGCCTTTGAATATTTCCTAAGATCACTGATAATGAGTACTTGGCAATAATTGAAACAACGATGTATGGTCAACGATATTTCAATAAATTAATTTAAAAATTTTTATGGTTTTTTCCTCATAACTTTTCGCACCCTTCTAAAATATTATTACTTTTTAATTAATTGAATTTTTGTCTAATCATACAACTGTTTTCAGTATTGCCAAATACCTATCATTAGTGGTCTTTTTAGAATTATTTTTTATATATAATTATTCGTATTCGTATTAATTTGCTTAGACTGGAAGTACCGAGGGTTAAACTGGTAGTCTGCCAAATTTGAAGATGAGAGAATTAACAGAACAGAATTAAAGTAGAAAAAAATTTTACTTTTTGTGAATGTAATAATTTTTATTTAATTATACTTTAAGGAGTCTTTTAAAATAAAACTATTTTTATTACTTAACTTAATTTTAGAGCAATAATTTCGATTATAAAATTTTAAGATACCTATTGAATGCACATATAAAATGATTGCGTCATGGGTTCTTCTGTTTAATTGTAAAAAGTTTTCTTTTAGTTTAACTTTCTCATTACGTTTAATTAAAAATTAAATTACAAAGACTGCGTTTTTACGTTTCTGTAATTAGCACAAGAAATTTTTCAAGAATAATTATTTTTGTATGAATGCAATTTCTTTTTCTTTATTAAAAAAAATTTATTTTAATATAAATAAATTTTTATTATTTTTACTTAATTGAATGATTAAAATAAATGTAAAATTATTTTATATTCATTATTGTCTGACAGCATTTTGCTAACAAGAAACGCAAAGAAAAGTTGAAGGTTGGCTAACTCCTTGCATTTGCTTGCGTTCTTTCCCTTACGCAACGCTTTTACTATGATTGCTTGCATTAATATCTTTGAATTTATTTTAGAACTGAATTTAACGGAGGAACGTATTTGTCGGAAGAACGCAATCATTATAGATTGGTCTTATGAAATTTTTCTGGTGTTTAGTTACACTCGATTAAAATCGCTTACTTTCCAGTTTGGTATATAAAAGATCTTAGAACGCGTAATTTTGATTTATTACCATTTAGAATATTAAAGTTATATTATATGTACCATATATGACTGCATTTCTATCAAATGAAAATGCTCATATAATTTATTTTCTACATATGTTTATTTCACTTAAAATGATTTGAAGGTTAAATAAATATAAAATGACTTCAGCTAATACTTAACTATAAATCTTAACAAAGACTTTTACTATTTGCTGAATTTTCTGAAACTATAAAAACTTAAATCATAAATTATTTTACTAACCATTAATAAAGAGATTTTTATTTTATTTATTTCTTCATGCATTGAACACAATAGTGATAGCATCAGTTTATGTGCTCCATCTACTTCCACTTCCTACACTTCAAATGGTTTTGCTGTCGACAGCAACTCGTGCAGGGAAAAATTAACCTCCGACCTAGAATCACCAGCATTAGAGCAATCAATGGCAACTGATGTAACATTTAATGCAAAAAAGTTCTATACAAGCAATAAAGCACCAACGACAAGTCAACTGCCATCAAGCAACTGGAGCGGAAGCCATGATAGTAGCAGCAGTAAACAACAGGAATACCAAATACAACAATCACAGCAAAAGTCCAGCCATGAGTTGTACAAGGAAGCCGCTCAACTGTTGGGACTGTCTTGTACCCTTTGTGATAATTGCCGTTGCCTTGACTGCCAGGTATTAATTTATTTTAATTGTTTTAACAAGGAAATTAACTGTGACTCGTTATGGAATCAATTTAATGGAAATTTAATAATTTATATTCATGTTTTATGCTGTGAAATGAATTTGAAGGATAGTTGGAATTTTTAAAGAAGAATGAAGTAAGAAAGTCAGTTCGCCAACAAACAAAATTTGTTCCAAGTTTGTAGATTTTAGATTAAACAAAAAATGTTAAACAAAAGTCTTAGTTAAAATGTTAAACATAAAGTCTTATTTAATGAAAGTTTGTTAAGAAATACTCTCACCCAAAGTAAAGTAGTGGTTATTTCCTATGTACTTTATACATACCATATATGGTAGAAATGTTATTTTAAGTAAACATTTTCATTAAAAACGAAACTACACGTCGGACACGATATAGTTCAAATGTACTTCTGATCAGTTTGATGTACGTCTGATCAGCATGATGTGTTAGAAACAGTTTTTTACTGATCATCTACATATTTTTATTTTTATGTTTAAGTCTATCTGTATAACAGCTGGTATGAAAACAAATCTATCAGTTTTTTCGCACAATGTTCCATGCTATATCTAGATCAACAAATATTAAATTGATTGACTAGATCATGCAGCTTATATAGAGAAGAAGTAAAATTTTAAGTGTATGCATGCATACAGTTTTAGATAAAAAAGATATTTTTAATAGATAATTGATTAACAAAATTATTAATAGGTTAGGTTCCGCATAATAGTGCATAGCACAGATCGCGTTTTAGTAGAATGCACGAAAATAGACCTATCAGGTTTGGCTGATTCATATGATAGCTGTCATTTTATGGAGTACTTGGGACTTTCTTAAGAATGTTATAATGTTCTATGCATATTTTGTGTAGTTTGCATTTTTCGATACAATTCAATTATTAAAAGATATTCAATCTAAATCTGTGGTATTACCTTTAAATTCGAGAGATGACGTCTAAGTGACTAAGTTTCAGAGTAATAGATGTTTAACAAGAAGAAGAGTGTGCTATCTCTTATAGACCCCGAACCAATAGGCCATCTAAGCACTTCATTCGACATAGTCTTGAATTACGAAATGTTTTTGGGGTGTAGCTTAAAAGCTCTTATAGATTCCAGTAAAACATTGGCACTTCTAATAATAAAAACACTAGAAATTAATAGGTGGGGAATATTGTGTTATGTTTACATATTTGTTGGTAACTATGGTTAATAATTATTTTAAAAATGTTAATGGAGAATGCATAATGCAGAGATAAAAGAAATAAATGTTCATATTAATATCAAAGTTATTTAAACTAGGTATTATATGCTTTCCACTACCGTCTCTATTTCGTACCTAACGATTCATTTCATAAAGTTCTCTGATTCAGACAGACTTATTTCTTAACAGTTCCAAAAATAAATAGTTCCATAACAGTTCCATAAATAAAGAAATTTAAGTCCACACCCTAATCAACCTATGGTAAATATTTGGAGTAGTGGTATAAGGGCTGACAGATTTGGTGTCTACTTTAAAAGCGACAAAATATATTTCGATTTATGAATAACTTTTTTGCGTGTGGTTTAACTATTCTGACTTTTTGTATATATAGAATCTATATTGTAGCTAAATACTAAGTCAATGTTATATATATCTTGTAAGCATTTATAGATAACTTTCGTTTTAGCCGTGTCCAGTAGCCTTCTGTAGCACACAGCCCAATCAGCGGCTTTAGTTTTCCGCTTAAAATTTGGATGTGATTCTGCAACGGTTGCCGAATCACAAACTTTTCTAACCGAAGTATTTTTATTTATTCATATGAAATGACCAAGCTTGTAAAGCCATTGAATTCTTTTATGCTTAACTATGCTTATGTTGCACTATAGCTCTTGCAACTTATCGCTCCATCTTATTAAGTACTCGTAATCAATGCGCATGAGATTCATGTCTTCCGAAAAGCTTTTACCTCGTATACTCCCAATCTTTTCTTATCTATTCTGTCCTATATAGGAGGACAGGCATGATAAGGCACTTGTACAGCTTGGTTTTTATTTGTCGAAAGAGGACCGTATTTTAAATAGTAAGTCATCAAGTACCATGACGCCAGCAATGGATCACTGGCATCAAGGAAGCTACAAGAGTTTTTTTTTTTATATTTAGACTAGAGTTTTTCAATGAATATGATTTTAGACATATTAACATTTTATGAATAGATAGGTTATAATAGTAATCTTGTGTAAAGCATATAAATATTTTGCACTATTTATGATGGTTATGCGATGAACTTATTTTTTAAGCTATAAAATTTAATTCCTCATTAGTTATGTTTATGAATTATTCAAAAAAAACATATCAAAGTATGTTATTAACATCAAATAAATCAGTATTAAGTTTTTTTTTGTGTTCTTAATATTAACATATTCGTCTCTTTACATTTCAGAGTGGCTACTTTGATTGCGATGATTCTGATAGTTACTCTGAGCTGTCATTTATGGACGAATATGACGATGATGTAGTAACAAGCAACCTAACGGAACTGATGATGCACACGCATAATTATGCTGATATAACGACAACATATTGCAACAGACAAAAGGAACAAAGTCATGAATGCACAGATGCAAATTGTAATATGAACGTTAACGACACAAACAATGGATGCGTTGATGATGTGCTAGCAAATAATTGCCACGTTATACAACACGAGCTCGAGTTACAAGCCCATCAGCAGGATAAAATGCATATTTGTCCAGAAAGTGATGTATCGCCCGCACATTGCCATTTGGAAAAAAATAAGGCCAACTGTACAAATAGGCCGGAACGTAAATGTGACTTAATCTCTACTACATCGACTACAAGTGCAAAAGCAGCGATTGATGAACTCATACGTGAAGAGAAACAAATTGAACAGCATCAGCACCTTCATCAGCAAAGCAATGAACTGGAAAATTGTGCAAGTTTCAATGAGTTGAGTTTATTGGATGTAAAGGTTAAGCAACATGAAACTATAACAGTAATAAGTAATGCAAGCGATGATAGGAATTTGCAGTAGGTCATTGGATGAGACATAGGATGAGAATAAAATCCAAAATGAAGGTATGATGCCATTATAATTTTTTTGATTTTGAAAAGTTTAAAATTTAAGTTTTAATTATTTACGAAATTTACTATATATTTACTATAAATTTACTATATATAGTACGATAGTTCGTACGGCTGTATCGGTCTTAAACATGACTAACATTATGCGCTAGTCCAGTTTATGTTGGACGGTCTTTGCAATGTCCAATATTCTACACTAGTCCAGTTTACGGTTCACGCAACTATAGTCAGAAGTAACAATAAGTCGCGATAAATTACCCAATGTATCATTCTCTCATCTTACAAAAGGTTTCTTACTTTTGAGACTTGTTTTTGATATTATTATATTGAATGTTTTTTTTAGCTAAAGCTTTATCTTCCATTCTAACGGCATGTTCTAGTTAGTGTAGCTGTCGGACTGTATTCACTTGTCAATAGCGTGGTACAACTCAAACGGTTCATCGTACCATCGAGAATAATATTGATCATTAATGAAATGTTTTCTCTAGAAGATTCAGTTGATCTACATTACTCAAACTTGAGTGCAATTTAACAGTACGGACAAAATATATAACATATTTTGTCCGTTATTTTTGGTCATTGCGAGAATGATCTCGACTTCTCAACTACTGAGATCATAGTAGTACTTGTTGGTGATTGTGATTACTTAGTTAATCTTGAGGAAAAGTTATTGCTCCTGTTAATACTGTGCACAAAGTTTTGTACAACTTGAGAAGTATGGCAAAAATATTTGAAATTTTATATGTTTCTACCTTACGAATGTTGTTTTTTAGCATTATGTAAAGAATTCCATCCTAGTATGTGGTGAGTGCAATTTTGCAAAATTGTATATATTTTACAGCAATCAAAATTAGACATATTATAAATATACATGATTCGTTACAATCCAATCTAAGAAGGTTTTATATCAAGAAGATTATGGTTCCTGTCAATTTAATTTTTAGTTCGTTTTTTTCTGGATTACACGTACTATCTGGTCAATGTTGGATTTACTATGTTTGAAACTACACTTTAATATCTTATCAATTCTTTGATTGTTGGCTTCAGTCTTCCTTAGAGTGTGCTTGCAAAATCGGTATAAGCTACGACGAGTGCGAGGATGCTTCAGTAAATCGTAAATATCATTAAGTCACTCTTTTAATGTATAGGGGGAGTATAAATAAACAATACACAAATTCAAGCCATTAAACATACTTTCAGTAGAAATTATCTTGCACAAAAATGAAAACAAGTTCTTTATCGACTATCGGTAAAATCTATAGGTGGCTATGGTTTTAGCGATATTTTATTAGAATTAACAGTTTAAATTTCATCAGTTCATCAGTATCATCAGTTCTTAGTTCATCAAATCGGTTTCTATATCAAGTTCACTAATTTCACGATTAAGAAAATTAGGGTATCCTTTTATTCTTCGTCGCCTATAATGTTTTTGCAGGCATACCATAGGAAAGACTGAGGCCAGCAATTAAAGAACTGATAAAACGTTAAAGAGTTGTTTCAAATGAACAGATATTAACATACGTCCAATCCAGGAAAGGAGAAATAAAAATTAAATTGACACACACCATCATTTTCTGGACTTGAAATCTTCTTCGAAAGGATGGTATGGAGTCATTTATATCCATAATATGTCTAGGAATCGTTCCAGTGTTTCTACATCTTGCCATAAAGAATTTGAAAAAAAATTTATTACTGCAATTTAAATATAAAAATCGAATTGTATTTTACAGTATTGCTCTTACAATTTATTTTTCTCTTATATGCCAAAAACTTTAATTCTAAATTTTAGTGATTTAAATTGTGACTTACTCTGAGTGTTGTATGTATTAAAGTCAGATAATTGAAATGTTTAAGAAAATTCCTTTCCCTACTAGAAAAGAAAATGTTCAAAATTACAACTCAAGTTAAATCGTTCTATTTAAGTTAACATTGTATCAGTCAACGATAATCTATAATATTCCCCCACCCTAAACTATTATGTTAAATCTTACTTGTCTTAAACATATTTCCCTCTTTTATTACTAACAATAGTCATATATGCATTTATAGTAAACCCTTTAACCAAACTAAAACAGAAACAAAATTGCAACTTTTAAAAGAAGAATTTCTTCCAAATCCCCACCCCACCCACGTTCGGTTGAAAAGGGATTTTGTGAAAATTCTTTTCACATGCACACATGAAAACTCTTTCAAACCTAATCCAACAAATAGTACCTTAAAGTCACAATATGGAATCATACATCGATTCTTAACACTGGCAGCAGTTGCAGGGAATGATTGCAATGCGATCCCTCTTAACCGATTCCGATTATTTGCACTTAAATGAAAACATTGTGTGTGGTGAATGCAAAGTGTAATTCGTTGTAAATTCAATTTTTTCTATCTATCACATTCTGCGGTAATGCTTAAAGTGTTGACAGATGTTATCCTTTTGCTCCAGAAAAAGTTAAATGAAGGTTACTTTAATCTCTACACGCTGCCAAGGATGCAAGTGCAGACGCAACTGTTACATTTTTGTTTGTTTTTGTAATGGCAACATTATTTCTATACGTAAACAGTAGCCTTGAAGTTGCTCGGGTAATTAATTTTCCTTTAAGTTTTGTAGGAAATGCAAGAGAATTTATATGCGAATAGATAAAAACACTTAAGTAAATTGAATTTAGTTCAATGGAATATAAACAAAATAAATTATTCAATATTAGAGAAAAACAGAATTTAAAAATAAAGGAAAAAATTAAGTAATTAAATTAAATAATATTTTTTTTCCTCTTTTTTTTTATAGTTTTAAGCTTAAAGAAGAAACTATAGTTATTCTAAAATAATTTTGTTGAGGTTTAGAAATGAATACTGCTATTTATTAGATCTATGAAGAATTACTGAACATCTCACCTACTACAAATAGTGCAAATCTTAGTCATCAGTACCGCTCTTATTACGTATGTCTACAAAAAATAAGAATATCACAACATTGTTACTATGATATTGATATTTTTATTAATGTTCCTATTCATATTTAATGATTATTTATATTTTATACGGACGCCCACTAACATTTATAATATATAGTACTTGTTACATTTATATAAATAGTAGTATATATATCTTTTTCGTTGATTGCAGTCCATGTTTATTAGTCCTGCAACAATATTCATCTCCATTAAACACTAAATGCTTCCAGTCATTTATATACGTAATATATATATATATAGTTGTAGTATATCTATACTATCGGACCTATTCTGTGCACTTGACAGATTTGTCAAATTCTTTAATAAAATTTTTGATTTTTATAAAGCAGAATGCTTTTTGGTATTCTGGACATATCTTGACAAATTTCAAAGCTCAAGTACCTAATGCTTTCCACCACACTATGGTGTAAAGTGTTTTGTATATAAAACTGTTCGTAACTGTTCGTAATTGTTCGTAACTGTTCATAAAAAATGCTTGTATAGAGCACATATTTTAAATTGTCGAAAGCATTTTTCATACATTCAAATCACAATAAAAAATATGCTTGTGAGAAGCGTATATTTTAGTTAACAATATTTGTCATGCATGCAAAAAATAAAAAATGCTTAAAAAAAGCATATTTTAATAGTTGTCAACAGCATTTGAAGTATTGACAACTAACAAGGAAAATAGCTTTTTATTTATGTCACAGAATACCAAAACCTTTACAGCAGTCAATTTTGACAAGTGTCAATGTTTGACAAGTTTATAAAGTGCACAGAATAGGTCCGTTAGTATATATGTGATATGTATATATATGTATCGCTCTAAGTTATACTGATTTATTTCTTCTTAGTTGCAAGATGTTTCTCTCGTTTAAAAGAAATTAGAAATACATGATAATTTTATATAATTTATGCAAAATACATACTGTAGGTTGCGCAGCATTCTTATTGTTCTTATATATTATATGTAACATATATATATAATATTTGTATGTCAACTATACTATTTTTTCTTGATCTTATTTTTGTGTTTACCAAATGGATTGATATATCCCGAAATTTGTTTAACCACAGGCACAACATTTTACAATGCTAATTTCTAATAGCTAGCCACCACTATTGTTCAGGTATAATCTTTGAACTATATATTGATTATATTAAATATAGTCATTGAACTATATTTTTATCATGGTTTGTAACCATGATATAATTATGTGGGAGTAATAGTGACAACGCTCTAAAAGCTGGAGTTTTGAGCACAAAGAAAAAGCATCCGGAACGATATGTTTTTTCTTTTTTAGCTAATAAACAAAATGAATAAAATGTAGCTTTCTTTATATACTGCTATATCTCTTCAGCTGCTTACACCTATTTTTTGTAAAATATATTCTTAAACTTCGTTTTTCTATTCTTTTTAAGAACGATGTTTATCTATTTTGAATAATAAATTTGTTTTGTGTTAACATATATATCTTAATGGAGACTTAATTTTGGCATAATACTTCTCTAAACAGCTTTATTCGGTGTTACATGCGATTTGAGCTACTAACAATTATTTTTTTAAAATGTATTTTTAAACTTTGTTTTTCTATTTTAGTCTAGAACTGTGCTTATCTATTTAGAGGTATATAATTTCTTCCAGCTTATAGTTGTTAATGGAAAATGACTTCTATCTGATACTTCTCTAAACTTAACCGCTACTTCTCTCTAGCTACATCTATTTTTTAAAATCTGTGCTTTGACTTCATTTTCTTATCTTTCCAGGTCTTTATTTATGTTTTCAGTGCTATACATATTCTCAGCTTATAAGTTCTTAATTGCTGCTGCAATAATATTTATTTAAACGTCTTTCTTGAACTCTGTGTTCCTTTAGCTATATGCATCTTTTTTAATTAGCTCATTAATGTCGTTTCTTCATTTTTTGTTTGTGATCTTCTTCTTCTACTGTTTCGCAAAGGGATCTACAGCTACTATATTTCTTTAAGCGTGTTTTATTAAATGTTATATATTTCTTTTTAAGCTAACAGTTTGTAATGGAAA